ACTGCTCAGAGTCCTCCATCTGGTTGTCAGAGTGCATTTGCCAAGACTCAAGAACAACAGTGCTACTTTGGGCGTAATTAATGTTTAGACAATAACTGGTCAGCATGTTCAGCTGCTTCTTGAGGTCACTCCTGGGACATGAAAATAGGACCCTGTATTGGCATAAACAGGATGTTTGTTTTCTTTGTGTTCTATCAGGAGGCCATTAGCTCGGTCATCTAGAAGTTATACCAAATTGTTCAGGTGCAAGCTCAAAAGGGGGAAGGATATGGGCCGTACTAGTTTTGTGCTATTTAAAATAGAAAATTGATGGATCTGAAATCTATTTCTGCTCAATATTTTTCTTGATAAATGTGATTGTTAATAAAGCCCTAAAAGAACATTTAAAAATCTTAGATCAATTTTAAAATTGTATAGCTTAGCCCATAAATAATTCCTATCTACAGAGTCAAAAGCAAATGAAGTCAGTGAATCAATACATAGTCATTACGGCCCTACTCCCTGCTCCCCACTGCTGGGTGCAATGGGTGATTCAGACAAGCAGGACTCTTTACTCAACTTGTTCATAATATGCTGTAGGGCTTTCCAAATGTTGTGTACATCAGGATTATCCCTTGAAGTCTGTCAAATAGAAAGCTGCCAGGGCCCCACTCCAGACTCCCTGAATCAAAATCTCAGGGAGTGGGGCATAGCCATCTTCATATTTAACAAACCTCCTTAGGTGATTCTGAGACTCATCAAAATTTTCAAACCAGCCGTCTGGTTGATGGTGTGTTGGTAATTCAAAGTCATATAATAGAAAATATCTCAGGAAATATGTATAGGGAAGATAACGCAAAACGCAACACACTGCCATGGAGTCAGATCCGACTCGTAGTGACCCCTCCTTGGGTCAATGAGGCAGTATCACTATGGAAGTTGATTGCTCAACCTTCCTTCTGAGGAGTGGCTGGTGGGTTTGAACCTCCAGCCTTCTGGTGAGCAGGCAAATGCCTTAGGCACTACACCACCAGAGCGCCCTAGAGGGGAGATATGCCTATCCATGTGTATCTAGAGACATCAGTCTCTCATTTGCATGTATGCTGTTGAAATATGCCTATAGATAAATATTCATCTATTATGTTAAATAATAATGATAAACATTTATTGACCATCTATTTGTGTCAGGCAAACAAATATTTTCTAAGGTTCTACTATGGCCAGGTACTGTTCATCAGAGAGTGAAATGGAGAAAAGTCCCTGCCCTCAGGGAGCTTACATTTTAGTAGGGGAAGACCAATGATCAACAAAATTAAATCATTCTATGACAATGAGTGCCACAAGAAGAAGTAAGGTGAAGAGGGAATGGGTACTGCCAGTGTGGGTGCAGGACTGCAATTTAGAATCGGGTGGTCAGGGAAGACTCTTCCCAAGAGAGGAGGAGAGGAAGGGAGATCTAGGGATATTTGGAGTACAACTGTTCTAAGTTTGGAGACCAGGAAGTACAAAGGACCTGACACAATAGGAGATGTGGTCAGAAAGGCAAGGAGTGGCAGAAGTATGGATCTTGTAGGGCCTTGCAGGCTGGAGATGTGGATCTCATGGGGGCCTTGTAGGCTGCTGGAGGACCTTGGCTTTTATTCTAAGGAAGATAGGAAGGGTTCTGAGCACAGGAATGAAATGATCTGACAGGTTTTAACAGAATGATTCTGGTAGATGAGAACAGGTTGTTGGGAGATGGGCAAGGCTATCAGGAGACCAGACAGGAGGCCACTGCAGTGATCCATGGAGAGATGATGAATAGGCCAGGATGGAAGCAGCAGTGGTGCTGAGAAGTCCATGGCTTCTGGGTACATTTTGAAGGCTGATCCATCAATTTTGCTGATGGACTGGATGCAGAGTGTGAGAGGACAGAGGAGCCAATGACGACTCCAAAGCCTTGTGACCTGAGTAATGGACAGGATCACATTCCCATTTACTGAGATGAGGAAAACTACAAGAGGTACAGGTTTGGGAGAAACAATCAAGTTTGTGGGGGTTACAATTATTAGTTTCCATTCATCCAGAGCAAAAGAGAAAGAAGGACTCAAAGAAGAAACTAGTCTACAAGATTACATAAACCATAAATTAGTCTACATAAACCATGGCCTCATCTACCCTGAGATTATAAGAAAAAGATGGTGCCCGGCTACCACTACCAACCATTCTGATTAGGGCCACAATAGATGAATCCTGAGAGAATGGGGGAAAAAATGTGGAACAGAACTCAAATTCTTTACAAGAATCTAGACTGACTTACTGGACTGATTGAGACTGGAGGACTCACTGAAAGTATTATCCTGAGATTCTCTTTAAACCTTGAACTGAAAACAGCCCCCAAGGTCACCTTTCATCTAAATAACAGGTTGGCTCACAAAATAAAGAATATTCCCGTGAGTACTGGGCTCATTTAAAAAATTATCTATACGAGACCAAATGGTCAACAATTACTTTAAAACAAAGATGAGAAGATAAAGAGGCAGAGAAACTAGATTAATGGTAATGGAACAACCAGAATGGAAATAATGAATATGTTCACACATTGTGAAGAATGTACCCAATGTCATTAAACAATTTGTGTCAAAATTGTTGAATAGGAATCTAAACTGCTGTGTAAACCTTCACCAAAAACACAGTAAAATATTATTTTAAAAAAGAGTTTGTGGGGTTTGGCCACATTCACTTTCCAATGTCAAGAATGTGGTCTGGAGTTAGGGGAGTAATCTCTATTCCTTTACTTCCTGTTCGTCCAGGCACCTTTTGTCCAGGCAAATGAATATGCAGATACCATCTGCCCAAAACTTATTATGTAAATTTGAAGTGATACATATTAGTAGCCATTTGTTGAACCTTGTCTCATTGGCAATTATAGAAGACATTTATTCCTTTCCTCACCATCATTACTTGAAATTACTTGAAATAAAATGATTCATCTCTATAGAACTTGAGATGATTTCTTTGCTTGTCCTAGAAATTAGGTTGTACCTTGTCCTGGTTTCAGTTTGTCAGTGCAACTTAGGAGGACCATAGAGGACAGACGTCTCCGAGAAGGACTGCAATAGGAGGCTTCCCAAAGGATGTTGGGTGTGGCCGTTGGCCTCACTTCCTCTATGGATCATGATTTGATTTTAAGAAACTAGTCACATTTCTATTTTAAAAACATATCTTGTACACTTAAAATCTGTGAATATATTATAAGTACATAATACCTTAAAGAAGAAAAAACTCATATTGAGCAGCTGTCAAGAGTAGTTTTGAGCACAAGGGCCTCACCTGTGTGGGTAACAGGGAGTGTACCCATAATGATACTTTTTCCGGACATGTGGGAAACCAAAAAAAATACATTCTGAATAGGATAATAAGTACTATTTACTTTTCAGTGTATTTAAAAATATTTTTATAAAAGGTGGGGACCAGGTTTGCTGGTGCAATAGAGCCTGGTGGAACCACTGAGACTATGGCCCTGAGATGCCCTTCAGGTCTGGAATTGAACCCATACCTGTGGTTTCCAGCCAAACAAAGTACAGGCATGTGAGTTAAACATTTACCTCAAGTAGACACACGCCCTGGAGAGAACAATCATGGGAGAAGGAAGGGCTGCTTATGCACAGGGAGATAGCTCAGGGTGCAGGAGAGTATGGAGGGATGGACACTGGGAGGAGGTAACTATGGGGAGGAAGTGGGAGGGGAGCTGTTGCATTGTGGTAAACTGTGGTCAATGACATGAGACAAAGTATATGTGAACTGCTGTATGGAAAGTGAATTTGCTCTGTAAATCTTCACCCAAATCAAAATTTAAAAAATATATATTTTTATATAAATCCTCAAAAAAGTCCTTTCTGAGGCTGATCAAAAACCAAACCCATTGCCACTGAGTCAATTCCAACTCATAGCGATCCTGTAGGACAAAGTTAGAACTGCCCCATAGGGTTTCCAAGGCCGGAATCTTTACAGAAGCAGACTGTCACTTCTTCCTCCCATGGAGTGGCTGGTGAGTTTGAACTGCTGACATCTTGGTTAGCAGCCAAGCACCAGGGCTTCTTTTATGGCTGATACCAAAAAAAACCCCAAACTCACTGCCACTGAGTTGATTTCAACTCATAGTGACCCTATAGGTCAGAGTAGAACTGCCCCATAGGGTTACCAGGGCTGTAAATCTTTATGGAAGCAGACTGTTTCATCTTTCTCCTACGGAGCAGCTGGTAGGTTTAAACTGCCGACCGTTTGGTTCGCAATCAAATGCTTTAACCACTGCACCACCAGAACACCTTTCTAAGGCTGATAGTGAAAGGTCATTACTATTCACATTTGAATGTCCAGGAACCTGAGATCTAGAAAGGATAAGAGATGTGGGAAGGATGAACTCCCACAAAATGCAAGGATGACCTTATATTTTATTACTTTCTCCTTTTGATTGTATAGTCTGATGTATAGTGACTGGATATCAACCCAAAGAACAGAAATGTGTGTGGGGGTACATGTGTATGTATGTGTATGTGTGTATGACTATGTGTGCATGCATGCACACATGATTCACACATGGGTCACTAAGTACAATAATCTGGTAAAGGAATTGGAACTGATCATACAAATCATATATAAGTCAGTTCTCTTGGTTCTTCTCCCTCTTCTCTTTCTGTTCATTTGGTCATTTTATTTCTGATTAGTAATTTTCACTAAAGGATGGGATGGGATGGGGAAATAAAGGTATGAAAGTCACATTAGGTAGTGCGGAGAATACTTTTAATAAAAACTGCAGTTGTAATTAGCACAAAAATGAAATCCTGAATTGCTGGTGGATTTCAACTTGCTTCACTCTCCTGATCCTTTGTTTCTGTGGGGAAAAAAATTGAGTTTGATTATGCCAAGCAACCAGCAAGGCTGTGTTCCTTTTGTTTTGCTGAAGAAGCCAGGTCTGCACTCTTGTGGTTGTAAGCAGGGTCTGGGCTGGGAATAGCATTTAACACATTTGCCTGTTTTAGTTTGTAGTGATGACCTCACCCACAAATTCAAAGGTTTCACTGTGATGAACGAAGCAGAAAGATACGAAGCTCTCAGACACTGTCGCTATGTGGATGAAGTCATCAGAGATGCTCCATGGACGCTCACACCTGAGTTTCTTGAAAAACACAAGGTACTTCTCATTTGTTCATGTTCTCTAAGTAGCAGGGTAGGGAGTGTAGGTCCTGCAGCCTACTCCACAGAAAGCCCAAAAGACTCTTCTGATGCTTAAAAGAGGAAACATCAGGAACCACCACATGGTATCACTTGATGCAGTACCTCTCTTCTGCCCATGCCTGGGGCCTGGAGTCCTTTTGCCTCCTCCAGTGTGGGCTCTGGAGGTAGAATAGCCAGGTCTAGATGCTGCCTCTCTCTCTTCCTAACTCAGGGACCGTGAGCCAGATATTTAACCACTCTATGCTCACTTACCTCACCTGTAAAATGGGATAATTAACAGTCCCTTCCTCATAAGGCTGTTTAAGGCTCTAATGAGATAACCTCTAAGAAAGTGCTTGGAACATATGCCCCATAGCAAGAGCTTCAAAAATGCTAGCCACCACCATTATCATCATCATCATCGCCATTATCATCATCATCATCGCCATTATCATCATTGGTGCTTATAGGTTCACTGGCATCATTTTTCGTGGAACAGATTAATACACATCTTAGCCAGAATGCCAGGGGTCATCCTTTAAAGAAAGAACTTTATATGATTCTGTGGCCCTGAGAAACAGCTCATACTGACATAAGACTTTTATTAGTTGAAAACACAAGAAATTCTTTTGATCTGCATCAAATTATGTGCTTTGTATCTCCCTACCAGCTCCACATTAGGAGCTATTCTTTCCTTTTATAAGCAGTACAAAAAAATAAGATTAAGCTGTTCTAAGAGTTTTCTTTTCTATTTTTAAATTCACGATGCGGAAGAGAATAGAGAACACTGATAAATGTGCATGGGTAATAGCAGAGAAGACAAAAAAGAAAGAGGAAAAACTACAATATGATTTGCGTCCAGCAATCATCAACACATTTTTACTGAGCATCTATTGTATATGCTACTTGTGCTAGGCATGATGGGAGATGCTAGTAATGATATGATAGCTGTCACTTATTAAATATTTACCATGTGCCCAGAACTGTGTGCTAAGTGCATAACTATTACATGATCATGTTAAATGCTACCCTGAGCAG